GGAGGAGGAGGAGAAGAAGAAGAAGAAGAAGAAGAAGAAGAAGAAGAAGAAGAAGAAGAAGAAGAAGGCGACGACGACGACGACGACGACGACGACGAAGAAGAAGAAGAAGAAGAAGAAGAAGAAGAAGAAGAAGAAGAAGGCAACGACGACGACGAAGGAGAAGAAGCAGGAAGAAGAAGCAGGAAGGAGGAGAAGGAGGAGGAGGCAGATGACCATACAGTGGTACACCCTGTACATGTGCAGGCAGATGCCCATAGGTGTATGGGGCATGTGCTGTGCGTACCGGCCCATACAGCCCCGTAACTCACTCGAGGGACCAGGTACGCGGGGTTCTCTGATTTACTGCAGTAAATGTTTTGCTATGGCTGCTATTTGATGCAATAAAATGGTGGCTGCAGCAAAACATGTACTGCATCAATGAAGGATGCTTTGCTGCAGTCCGAGCCTGCGGCAGGTAGACATAAAATTTGATTAAAATTTTGAAAACATTGTTCATCCTTTCTATCAGTGCTGTATGGGTGTACGTGACATACCATTGAAAACAATTTTTTTTTTTTTTTTTTTTTTTCCAAACAAGAGACTCAAAAATAGAGTCTCTTTTATTAAAAGAGCTGGAAACTGGGTCCAGCGCCCCTTACATCCATGGGACATAAAATCACACAATCAAACGCGTCTCCCCGTTATGGCCAGGAGATCCTGAGACAGCAGCATTGATTGCTTCCTTGTCGGAAGGATGTACCACCACTCTGCCCCTGCTTTGCTAGCATCTCGCATTCTAGGCACGTTATCCTAATCTGCTCCCCTCTGATTAGTCGCGACGCTACAACTGGTCTTAGTTAGCATATTGTGGACTTGATCATCTGCCTGGTCATCGTCAGCCCTGACAAAACCACCCGTTTCTGGGCCCATTGGAACTGGATCTTCCCTCCTTCCAGCCGGCCGGTCTTACCTGCCCCCAGGGATTTGTGGCAGTTGTTCTGAATTTACTGGGCCTTGCCAGCGTTTTGTTCCATCTCTCTCTCTCGACCCTTCCCTAGTCAACCTGGTACTCTGCCTCCAGCAGTTGGATGACTCCCTCCCATACTTGGGGGAGGGGCTAGTCGACGAGTCGTTTCTTGCCTATTGCCTCCTGACACCTGCTCTTCCACATTGTCCACAGGGCCAGTGGCCTTATCCTCTGAAGTAGCTTGTGCTGGTAGGGTTCCGCATGGCTCGGGGCGGCGAAACCCATAACTTGGGGGAGGGGCTAGTCGTCTCTTGCCTATTGCCTCCTGAAACCTGCTCTTCCAAATTGTCCACAGGGCCAGTGGCCTTATCCTCTGATGCAGCTTGTGCTGGTAGGGCTCCGCATGCCTCGGGACGGCGAAACCAGTACTATCCTGCGTGTCTGGTCCGGGAAGGGTCTGTTAGTCACTGCTTGCCATAAAGCTGCCACATTGTCCCAGACCTGGCGGGCCTTCGGGCATGTCTTTGACTTGGCCTGTTTGACATATGGCACACAGCTCATTCAGGCTGTACCTGTGTTGCGGGTTGTTGGTTCAGCCAACAGCTCAGGCTTCTTGCTCGTGTATTTCTTATCGCCAGCGCCACGCCCCGCAGGATGGTCGGTAGGACCGAGGGGTCAATGTCTGTGTGCTTGGCCATCTCTGTGTGATCGTGTCGTGCACATTGGCCGATCTGCGCCTGACTCGGTACCCCAGCCTTGCTGTATACTGGAGTAGATTGAACCTTTGTGCTGCACTTCCTGCTCTCCCCTGGATCTCCCACGTCCGTTCCGCTGGATCTATCTCCAGGTTATGCATCTCTGTTGTGGGGCTGAAGATTATGAAGTCGAAGTTCTCCACCACTCGGATGTTGCGGAGAAGATCCTTTCTGACCGCCACCTGAGCCTTGCAGCCTCTCGCGGCTTGGCTTACCGTCATCCCCGGCCTCATTATCTTGTGCACGTTGAACAGGAGCCAGTCTCCCCCCAGTCTTGCTTCTGCCACAAAGGCAAGTCCTGTGGCCGTCGGTGTCGCCCAGTCGTCTCTCGCCCACTTGCAGCATCTCTTCAGCTTTCTTACCCACTCGAATGTTGCGGACAAGATCTTTTCTGATCGCCACCTGAGCCTTGCTGCCTCTCGCGGCTTGGCTTTGTCTCGTGCATGTCGAACAGGAGCCAGTCTCCCCCCAGTCTTGCTTCTGCCACAAAGGCAAGTCCTGTGGCCGTCGGTGTCGCCCAGTCGCCTGTCGCCCACTTGCAGCGTCTCTTCAGCTTTCTTACCCACTCTTCCGACTCGGAGATGGATATCAAGATATCGTCGAGGTTAGCTCGCAGACTGTGACACCCCTGAGATTGGCACACAAGCCCTTTCCTCAAGTACGCTTCACTGAAACTTGTAATGCTACCTTCTTCCCCCGAATACAACGTACGGTCATTATGGCTGTATTTAGACTGAAAGATACCCCAGATACAACTATAATTACCGTACGTTGTATTCGGGGAAAGAAGGTAGATAGCTTGCTGCTACAATGCCAAATAGGTCACAAGATCCATAGAACCACGACTTCAAACGTAGTCAAGAAATGGGAAGCACTGCTCAGGAGAAATAGAGCCTGGAGGGCAAGGTACTATATTAGGCCCTATCACAATCAAACAAGACACTATCTCAGTCATTTCCATCAAGACAGGAAAGAGAAAACAGAGAGGGGATTGATCGAATGCAAATGAAGCACAGAGGAGGAAATGAAAGAAAGAGGAAGGAGGAAAGGAACATGGGGAAGAAAATAGGACATGGCACGTCTGATAGAAGCTCGGCAGGCTGCTGCCAACTGGATTTAAAAGGGAACAGATACACCACATCAGAATGCAGAAACGCCAAGAAGACTCGCAAAGAAAGCATCACCATCAGTGGTGAAGTCCTTCGAACAGCGGCGGAAAGCTGATACCCGAGTCCGACATTCAAGTTGGCATTTTCTCTGCCTGTCTGGTGATGCATTCTGCATGGCACACGTTGACCGTCCGCGTCAGACGCCCTTGTAAGGAGCAAGGTGAAGAGTTATTGGAGAGGAGCACGCTAGTCTCTTTAAAACCTGAAATAAATATGTCTGTCTGTCTGCCTCTCTTTCTGCCTGTCCACCTGTCCACCTGTCTACCTGTCTGCCTCTCTGCCTCTCTGTCTCTCTGTCTCTCTGTCTCTCTGTCTGCCTGTCCGTCTGTTTGTCTCTGTCTGCCTGCCTGTCTGCCTTCCTGCCTGACTATGTCCCCATCTGTCCGTCTGCCGGTCTGTTCTCTGCATGCCTTTCGGGAGGGTACAACGGTCTCAAGGTCCGCAACTCCTGCCAAGCAGAATCGGAGACATCCATTACCCAGCCTCGAATCAGTCCATCGTTTTGACAGAGGCAGGTGAGTGGGCCAACACATCAGTAAGCTTGACTTAGCATAGATGGAATCCGATACATGTCGCATATTATCAACAGTTCGGTGAATGGCAAAGCGGTGCTAGTACTCGCTGTACTATTCAAAATCTCCGATCGTGAATGTCAATGTCAAGGGCTCGAACACTTGCCCTGACAGTAATTCTCACATGGCAATCACTAGACTTAGCACCTCAAATTTGTCACTGATGTAAGTTGGATGGCAGCTATAGCTATAGCAAAGAGGGTGTACTTCACCAAACAAATCAGCCCCCCCATCCTTCAAATTGGTCATACCAATCAGATCAGCTTACGGTACGAGATGAGCATCCCTCACTTGTGTCTGGTCTCTCCAGCCAAACACTTCTTCCACAGTCAATCTGTGTCCAGTCTCTCCAGCAACCCTCATTTGTTCATCTGTACTGTTGATCATGAGATATAAAGTTAGTATAAACGGATAAGTTTTCAGTGTTGGCACATTCTGAATCCATGGAACGGATCTGGTACTGAGGCTCTTAGCAGACCTGTATTGCAGATCTGTATTGCAGACCTGAATTGCAGACCTGAATTGCAGACCTGAATTGCAGGAAGTCAACAGGCGAAGTACTGTACACTGTACTTCTGAGCAGGGATGGCTGAGCTTCGGCGGTGGCAGCAGCTCTGGGAAAGTGATTTGGAATGTCTGGTGGCTAGGTGAAAAAAGCTTTGGATATCTGGGCTTAGAATCTTATCATGTCCAAAAAAAAAAAAAAAAAAAAAAAAAAATCTTATCATGTAGTGTCCTTTGGGACATGCGTTAAAATTGGAACGATACAGAGAAGATTAGCATGGGAAAAAATAAATAAATAATTTAAAATAAATAAAATGAATCTTATTATGTAGTATGTACATATAACTGCCATTCGCTGGCATGTTGTTAAATTCGAGATTTTCGTTTTTACAAAGGGAGGCAGCCGTGAGATATCATTGTGGAACTGACCGGCCCCTGATAATTCAGAATTATTGGATTTCAAATTTCAATTATCAAGTTCTTCAAACTCAGGTCTGTAGTTCAACAGTTCATGGGTTACCAACTGCCGACTGGCATGCCATTAAATTCCAGATTTTCTTTAATTCCACGAATTTGAAATTTGCCCTTTAGGGCTATTCGTATGGAGAGGGACGGACGTCCGCTAAAAGTAATACCCTCACTCTCTCCAAGGAGGCACAAAAAAAAAGAGAGAGAGAGAGAGAGAGAGAGAGAGAGAGAGAGAGAGAGAGAGAGAGAGAGAGAGAGAGAGAGAGAGAGAGAGAGAGAGAG